GTCCCCCACAGCCCTCCCCCACCGTGGCCTAGTGAAGCATCAGTCGTGTCACCTCAGGGCCTTGGTGCGGCCTGGGGAAGTGTCACCACCTCCCCTCCAGGCCTTGGCGTCACCTCAGAGCCCCCCGCCAAGGCCTGGGGAGGTGTCATGGTGTAACCTCAGAGCCCCTGTGGCCTGGGGGAGATATGGCATCCCTGCAGAGCCCCCCCCGCCCCGCCAGGGCCTGGGGAGTGCCGTGACATCACCTCAGAGCCCCCCTGGCCTAGCACGACACCATGGCATCACCTAGGAGCCACCCTGCAGCCTGGCAAAGCGCCACGGCATTCCCTCAGCACCTGGCGGCCACGTCATGACACGACACATCCCGGGACGCGTGTGCCCCCACCACAGTCACCGTGCAGCCCCGCGGTGTCAGGGCAGCGCGCGCCAGGGAGGTCTCTGTCGGGGCGGCAGAGCCTTGTGGCATCTCGGAGCCGTGGCAAGACATGGTGAGCCTCCTGGGCGGTGCCAGGAGGCAGCTTGGCATCACCTTCAGGCACCCCAGCACAACGGAGGCAGCGGGCACGGTGTTAGAGCGAGACAGTGGGGAGCTCCCTGGGCCAGGTCGGCAGCATCGATCTGCATCGCCTCGCCCACCCTAATGCCGAAACGCCGGCCTGATGCTTCACACCTTCACCGTCCTTCAGGCTAATCCCTCTGCTGCTCTCCTCCGCCCAGCGCCTTTCAAAACTCAGCCTGAGAGTCAGAGGATCGGCTGCATGAAATCAGGCCTGGGCTGGAGAAACGGGACAAGCAATGATGCTACATAATAGCCTCGATGCAGGCTCCAGGTAACCTCCAGGTAATGCTGAGCAAGGTCACCTGCTAATCACGTCCCGGCAGCCGGGGGACTACAGCTCGCAAGCTTCGTCTTTAATAACAGCCCCAGGACCGAGGGAGTGCCTGTTCCATGACCACAGCCAGCAACTCACGCCAGAAACATCACAGCATGGATAGGACAGCCCTAGGGTGCACCTGTGAACTGGGTTGTCCGCGAATTAAACCAGCCACCACCCCTTTCCCTGCAAGCTCAGCACTGGGAGAGGTGCTGGAAGGGTTGATTACAGGAAAAAAAATCAATCAAGGTACAAAGATGAGGCAGAATTACCTCAGGACACATTTAATTCTGCTGCCCGTACAGCCGGGCTTCTGGTAAGCGAGCAATGCAGTCGTCACGTTCCCCAGAGCAACTGCCGAAGTCAGAAGGAAGAGAGAGTGGTTCCTGGCTCCTCCATCTAGGTCAGAAAAGCAGCTCTAAAGCTGCCCCGGTGTCCATGCTCCTGTCCATTTACAGCCACACATGCCTTGCTCATGGGGCAAAAGCACTGGTCTTGCCAATGCAGCTCCAAGACAGACTCCAGCACTGCCGGGGCCTGGATGATTCGGTGTCCATGTGACTGCCGAGTTACGTGTTCACCTGAGAAGAAGGGACAGGGGCTGCACTTTGAAGGCCTTGACCCTCAGATCCTGGAAGCAGCTGGCAGCTGGATGGGCAGTGGCTCCGCTGAATGCGGAATCACGCGCGGGCCAGAGTTTACCCACTGTGTTGCCCTTGGCACATGTCAGCTGGCAAACGCATCTCGGCGTGGCACAAGGCTGCTGGGTTGAGGCAACACCACACGCTCTCCCCACATGGCCGCTGAGGGCAGAAAACAGGCCGTATCCTCGTGGAATATGTCTGTAGTAATACCTGACCGACAGCCTCAGGCCATGCTGGCCCAGGGCCCCTGTGCTGCACCCAGGGACTGGCCTCCCCTGGGGGGTCTGGCTATGGCCACCTCATGCCCCGCAGCCCAGGCCTTTCCCGGGAAGTTTTGCAACACCCATTTTGCAGCCTCTGAGCAAAGTTGGTAGGATCTGCCCTGAGGGCCACAAGGAGGCTGGGCTGAAAGGAACGCTTCTTCTAGCTAGGTATGGAGGAACTGGTCTCTGCGCTCTCTGCCTCAGTTTCCCCATATCCAAGTGGGATAACTGTCCCCTCATCCTGAGGCACAGGGCGCTGCACCGCCCACCAGCTTGTTTGGCCCAAACTCCATCGGCTGATCCTTTTTTTAGACCTGGTGGCCTGACTCTGTGACCTTGCACTTCAGCCAGCTGCCTCTCCCCAGTCACTCGTGCGCTTGGCAGAAGGGCGCTGAGGCAGGGGTGGTCCGTATTTGCACTTCGGTTCAGGTCACTCTAAAATATTTGCTTAAACTCAGCACAATGCCATTTCCCCAGCTGTTAATGATCAACATGGCGGTTCCCACAGGTGAGGTCAGGCCCTTGCTGGGTGCCAGGCCACTCTGCATGTTGCTAGAAGCAGGCCTGGTGGCACCCTGGACCAGGAGAGATGCAGCTGCAGGTTCCACCCTAGACAGACGATGAGAGAGCAGCCAAACACCTCCTACCATCTGGAAGAGCACTGGGGACATGGCCTATTTCAAGACACTGAGCAAGTGCCAGGCAAGCAGCCAGCTAGCTCCAACTGACCTGGTGCCTTGAATGGAGGAAAAGGCAAAAGGCAGCCTCATGGGGGCGATTGCATTTGTTCTTCAAGGATGGGCACTGATGGAGCCCGCCTGGAGAAGTAGCTGGGCACAGGTCAGAGCGGCACCCCCGGAGGGCTGAGTTGCCAGCCACCCTCTCCCCTTACCCATGTGGATCCCAGCTGGGCATGCTCCGAGCTGGTGCGTTGTGGGAGGTGCTGACCTTCAACTGGCTGCAGATGGACTGACCCTGGGGCCAGGCCAGCCCCAGCCCAAGGCTAATAGCATTAGGGCTCTGCCCTTCCAAAGGCTCTTTGAACCCAGCAGGGGGGGGGGTGGAAATCATCCCTTATCAGCCCAGAGCTCCTCCAGCTGGCAGGGGAAGAGGGAATGAAGCCCAGCACCAGGGGCAGGATCAGGCCCAGGCCAGCTGCCTCCCTCCGGAGCAAAGGCAGAACACAAAAGGCTCCTTCACTTTCAGACACATCTGTTCACAGCAGAGCCTGCACCAAGGCAAAGCTTACAGCCTGCCAGGAGGCACAGCTCCGGGCACCTCAGGCCAGCATGTGCCTGAGAGCTCATAACTGGCAGGGGAGCAACCCAGGTGGATCAGAGCCCTGGAGGGCAGCAAGGGGGACCCAAGAGGCTCTTTTACTTCTGCTGCCCAAGAAGGCGGCTGCTGCATTGGGGGGCAGCACAGGAGGCAAAAGCCTGCCTCAAATAGGGTGACCATTTGACCCCCACCCCCAGTAACTGAACCCACCAAGCAAGTAACAGCTTCCTCCTGCCTGGACGAGGAGACCCAGGTGGGAAGTGCGACCCCCACGGGCCCTTTGAAAGCCCCTGCTTGTGCCAATCCAGGCATCTCCTAGGGTTTCCCCCCACCCCCCAGCCAGGACCCTGGCATCCCCACCAGCCAGGACTACCACGAGCTATTCCAACTGCCATGTGGCCTTGCATTTATTCTACCACCGGCCGCCAAAGACCACAACGACCTGCAACTTTGAAAGAGATAGTTAAGAAACAGAATTGAGACACTAAACCCCGCCCGACTTAAGCCCCTTGAAGTAGAAACACTTCCCCCCACCAACCCCTCCAAATCCTGGACATCTGCCCCGTGCATAGACCTTGTGGTGCAGGTGCCCAGGTCCATCGTCAGCTGCAATCCGTCAAGGAACTGGAGCGCCTCCTGCTGGTGGCTGAACATCCCCCGCCCTGGCAAGCAGATGATGGGGGAGTGGCTTCTGTGCAGGCCCCTCCCCATTGGTCCCCTCCCCCACCTGAGTCACAGGGAGATGAAGTGACTTGCCCAAGGAGATGGTGGCAGAGCCAGTGTGGAACCCAAGAGTCCTGGCTCCGTCAGCCACCACAAAATGCCCCTGCTGGGAATGAAGCCTTGGAGTCCTGCGTCACCAGCCCTATTAGAGCCAAGAGCCCCGGGCGGCCATCAGCTGCTCTGCCTCCAGGCTGGAAGAGAACCCAGGAGTCCTAGGTGCTGGTCCTCTGCACCAACCCCCAGACAGTGCTCCCGTTGCAACACAGACACAGCAGACGTGCAGCAAAAATAAATAAGACACAAAAACGCCAGACAAGGGAGGAAGCAGAGTCCCAGCAAAGGAGCCGGCGTCCTCACAGGGCCCATGGGCAAGGAAGGGGCTGCTCACAGCACCAAGATAGTCAAGCCCAAGAAGCAGGCAGGGAATGTCCTTCCTGCCCGGCTTGGGAGCTGCTCACACGGGGCTGCCCATCCTCAGCGAGGAGTTGCAATACCCCCGAGGACGGCACAGGAGACACAGGGGTGGGGGGAGTGCAAGGCATCGGCTACAGGGCTCTGTCCAGCACGATCCGGGGCTGCCGCATCACAGCTCATCGTGGGGCACGTGCAGGGCATGATCACAGAGATCTGTGGGCAAAGCACATGCCATCAACACAGGGACTGCCCTCTGGATCCCCATCGCGAACCTCCGCATTGTGAGATGTGGCAGGGGGTGAGGAGGGGCCAGGCCAGAGATCAGTCCTAGGGAGATGCCTTAGGAGACCTGGAACCCCCCTCCCATAAGCAGAGCCCTGTGTCCGGCATGATTGAGAGGCTGAACCAGCACGAGGACACAGCAGCGGGTCACACGATGCCTGCGGGGCCTAGCCACCAGCCAGCATGAGATCTGTCTGGCCCAGAGGCTGCCTGGTGCCTCCCTCGGGTTTGCAGTTAATGGGAAACAGGGCTGTTTGAACAAAGCTGTCAATGCCACCCATCGCCCTGGAAGAGACAGATCGCGCCCGGCGCCAGCACCCACCTGGAGGAGCTTGACCGCAGCTCATCAGTGGCCCGGGTGCCTTGTGCTCCCCTTGCGCTGGGCCATGCTCCTCCCAAGACCCCACACCAGAGGCTCTTGGGCAGGGACTGCCCTGTCCTGTGAGCAGCACCCAGCATCGCCGAGCTGCTGTCCCAAGCACCGTGGCCTTCACCCTGCCCAACTGGCTGACACCCAGCACTGCCATCCAGAAATAGCTCAGCAGAACAGGACGTTGCTCCCTGAATGGCCCCAGCCACTGCAACCACATCGCGACCTCCAGCACCACTAAGAGCCCGTGCGATAGAGCTGCGAGGGCTTCCCTGGATCTGCCCCAGATGCCAGTGTTGCCTCTGCAGCCCAGGCCTCCCTGCTCCAGCATGGTGCTGCTGGCTATAGGCATGGAGGAGCTGCCCTAGGGCTGCTGGCCAGCGCAGCACTGCACGCACACGTGCTGGCACCATTTTGGCACTGCGGCCAGGCCCCTTGCTGCCAGCAGTGACCTGGCTGTGGAGACCGAGGCAGGAAGCAGAGACTCCCTTCCAGGAAACGGAGGGGGCTGCTCACCGGTGCGCTTGCTGCAGAGTCGGTCCTTGACGTTCTCGGCCTCATGGGAGAAAAACTCAATGAGCTCGTCCTCGTACTCCTCCGCGATGCTCTCGCACTGCAATGGAAACAGCGCTGGTCACGTGCCTGCCACCTCTGAGCTCCATCCACGCTCCAAGGCTGGTGAAGCCACACACAGACTCCCCCGGTCACTCAGCCCGAAGCCCCAAGAGCCCCACAAAGAGCTGACGGCTCTCGAAAAGGCCAGATACAGCTTGTGCCAGCCGGACCACAAGCAGGGCCCAGTGCTAGGTGCTGAGGCCTGGCTGATGAGGGCAGTCCGCGCCTCCTGCTGCATCCAGCAAGACCCCCCGTGCACACCTGTGGGGGGCAGTCGTCACTAAGCATCCCTGACCCATTTCCCACTCACAGCAAACTTCAGGCTGGAGACCACATCCCCATCGATTTTGACCTCGGAGAGATCCATCTTGGTGCCGTCGTGGGAGAGGACGCGGACGTATGCCTTGCGCTGGGTGATGGGGTCCGTCTTCTCCCCGTACTCCTTCATCTTCTCGCACACCCGCTCCAGCAGCTCCGTCAGGTGGGCTTCGGAGCGGGCATAGGGCACCTGCGGCAAGACCACGGGGCAGCTAGATCAGTCTCCCTGCTTACCCTAACTCTACACGTCGGAGGAAAATCGAGGCACGGACACGACACGACTCCTTGAGCCCCACAAGGAGCTAGGGTGAAGCCAGACCTCCAACACACTTCCCCCCCCGGCGCCAAGAGCAGAACTGAGGAGTCCCAGAGCAGCCCCAGGAGCGCCCTGCTCTGCCAGCCGGGCGCAGCCCCCCAGCAGTGGCTCGACACCCCCACGCCGATCGCGGACGGGGCCCAGCTGCACGCGCTACCTCCACGACTGACTGGCTGCCGTCCGGGTTGATGCGGAATGAGCCCATCTGGATGGTTTTCTTGGGGTCGACCTGCGTGATCTCCCACTCCAGCTCGTCCACCAGGGCCCGGCAAGCTGCAACGTGGGGCAGAGGGTGAGAGGACGCAGGTGCCCGTGGCGAGGAGCCGTGGGGGGAGCGGAGGCCCAGTAGCCCGCAGAAAGGGACCCACGAACAACACGGCGAGGAAATTATCTCCTTCCATGCCCGCGCAGCGCCCTGCGCCGGCAGCCCAAGGAGCAGCCGTGACCCCGGTACCTCCGCAGTGCAGGTCCTGGCTCCTCCGGCCCCGCACGGGGCTCAGCACCGCCACCAGCACCACGGCCAGGCCCAGCGCGCTGGACGCCCAGCTGCCCATCCTGGCGCCCGCGGGCCGGCGCGGACCCCTGCGGTGAAGGGGGAGGTCAGGGACACCTGCAGCCGGCTCGCCCCAGCCGGGGGGGCACCTGCCCCGGTCCCAGGGACAATGCCTCCCCCGGGGCAGCAGCAAAGCCCCCTGCCCCCCGCGGGGCAGCAGTCCCTGGAGTCTCCCAGCACCCCTACAGATCCCTCTTTCCATGCCCCCCCATAAGCTTTTCGACCGGTCCTTCTACGTGCTCCCCTACAGCCCCCTCCACCCCGCTTCTATAGGCTCCAGATCCCCTACAGAC